CAAATTTGGAGGTAGTGGGTGATGTCTCTCCGACGGATTGAGTAAATTTTCTATATCTATGTTTTCCTTAGCAATTATAGCTAATTGAAACAGATCACTCCAGTCTTCCCAAGGGATGGGTGGGTCTACCGTATGGTTTTGCCAAAAGGGAGGTATTGCTCTCACGTTAGATTCGTTAGATGACTGCGCCATGATAAAATATTACTTTGTTGTAGCTAATTCTAGGTTAAAACTAATAAAAAGAATAAGAATTAAGATGAATTAGTCGATAAGTTAAAACATTAAAACAATGAGAGATCATTCTCTCCGCCGGAGAGAATGGCTCATGAAGGTCATATATGAGTGACCGGTTAATTAACTAAGTATGTTTTGCAATAATTGCAAAACCTGATGTAAGATCACAACATCTTGTCAACTTTGTGCTGTTTAACTTTGATCAACGATTATAAGTGAGAATATAATGTCAACTTTAGTGAGATTTGATGACTTGTTTAACCTGTAACAGTATCAAACATAGTGCATTTTGGGAGCCATTCTGGAAGAACATGAGGCGCTTCCCGCTTTGCACTGAAATGCCACTAAATTCCTCTGATGTTCATAAAATTGCAGAAATTCACGATCCCAGTCGTGCATGCGCTGCTGCAGAATGCACTTACTCGTCTTGTAAGTTTTTGCATTCTTATCGTTTTTTTTAAGCATGAAGTTGCTAAAAATAACTACTGGTAATCTAAAATGAAGAAAATCTTATCATCGATTTGAAGTTTGGCATTGACGACATTTGCAGACTTCTACTAAAAGGCCGACACAATTTAATATCAGTTGGACTCATTTTTCTGCCTAATTTTAATTTCATCATTTTTGTTTCGACCATTTGAAAAATTGGCTAGATCTTTTTACCTAAATTATTATTTTTAACGCGTGTGTAAAGTCTTATCATCACAACGCTAAAATTAAAATTTTTTGAAATATTATGTTCTTCAAATTCGTGTAGTTTTTTTCGTCTTTTTATAGTGAATTTCGTCAGAATAATCTGTGCTACTTGCACAGCAACCGGCTAATCTAGTTTACCTTTGTTTTTTGTTTTCCTTGCAAAATCAGGTACCACACACAAATAAACATCGGAATGGCTCGAGTGATATTCTATATTGAGGCCCTTTCAGAGGCGCTTTTGAAAATTTTGCGATTTAGTCTAATTTCAAGCGAGTAATGCATTTGAGTAATGTTCGTTATTTTAAAATTTACTGAATTTTTTACTAAAAGTTTTAGCAGACTCTGTTTGATGTGGTGAACAAAAAGTTTTATGACTGCGGCTAACCCTTGGTAGTTACAGACTTTTTTGAAGAGTAATGTTTTTATACTTCGATCAATGCATGATTTGATTTCATATAGACTGTGCTAAGTTTCTCGATTATACTTTTTTACTATACTAACACTTTTACTATAAAACAAGGTTTCGATGGATTATTGCTGTGAAGGATACTCGTTATAAACGCTATTTCTGTTTTTTCTTTACGCATTATGAGACGCGCAAACTTTGAAACGAAAAAAAAACTGCTCATATCAGGGCGAAACTTTGTTTGATCCGACTGTTTTTCAACGTCTATGGAGCAGTGTTTGCATGAAAATTGTGACAATTTTCTCAGAAAAATGAAACAAAAAATACTTTAATTAGAGCTTAGAACAACCACACTTTTTAGATGATATAAAAATATTCTGATAAAATTGGCTAGCAAAATTTGAAAAAATGACTGAACAAAAAACCACTCCAAGCATAAATATTCCACCATTTTTTCTTCGATAAATTACTGCCGTAGGAAAATTGGTTAAAATATTTTTGAGACTGCTAAATTTTCCGATTTTAGAAAAAAAAACGGAATAATTATGCTCGGTGTGGTTTTTTCGTTCAGTCAATTTTCGCCGATCCAAATCTTAGTTTTCCCCAAAATTTTTATACCCCAGTGCAGATATTGACTTCTTGAACTCAAACTTAAAAAGATATTTCCCCTTCGTTTGTTTTTTGTAAAGTTCTGGGGGTTTGAAAGCTGCCAAATTGGCCATGTTGTGGACAAAATTATGCTCGCTTTGAAGAATCTATTGCTGAGAGCGTAACTCGAATTTTTTTTGCATGGCGATTTATCCAGCACAACAAAATTGTTCCAAAATGAATTGAGGCTAGTTGATCAGATTAGTCGTATTAACTTCGTACGACTCAACATTTCACATTGTCAAAAATTTATAGGTTTTCAATATTTTCTTTTCCCAAAAACTATTCGATATGAATGAATTAAGGGACAGTCGGAACATTCAAGGCCCTGATATACGAGCAGTCTTTTTTATTTAGATTTCGTGACAGAATTTTCTCAGCGCTTATAGCGCAGAATTAATTTTAAGCTATAAAACATAAAAAAATAAATCATAGCAAAAAATATTTTTTTTAAAATTGAAACGTCATCATTGAATCGATGCGATAGTTAAAAGTACGACACCAAAGTGATAAAATTGCAAAAAAATTTTGTCTATTGTCTTAAAACGTTTTGTGTGGTTTTTTGGGATACCTCAATGAACCATCAAAAACTTTCACCTGGATGTTTTTTCACAATGAACACGGTAATTTAAGTCGGATTCAGTTGAGGTACCCGAGTCCAGGTTTAATTTCATGCCTAGCTAGAATAAGTACAATTTGCAGTTCTATTCGTATTTTTTGGAGTACCTTAAGACGAAAACTGAAATTGTTTGAAATTATGTTGGTTGATTTTGACACGGATAGTTTTAAAAAACCTCCTAATAAACATCAAAATTTTAAAATTTTGGGCCCTTTTGGACTAACTCTCAATAACTCACCCGCTATATATGCAGCTAGATTATACTCAAACAGGGATACCTTTTCAGATATCAACCCAAAGTCAAAAAACAAAGATACGTGTAGACCAGATTATATTTCAGCATTTAAAATTCTTATCGATATATTTTAAACAGATGGCTCAAAATTGAAATTCAGAACAATTGGTCAAAGCTTGAAAACGTTGATGTTATTGTTGATCAGACTAATGAAATTGGTCTCCCCATTTTCAATAGTCGGAACAACAACATCAACTTTTTCCAGTTTCCATCAATTTTTCAGAATTTCATTTTGAGCAACCATTTTTAAACCTATCGCTGAGAAACTTAAATGTTTTGTATTCTTTCCATGAAAAATCAGGTATCACAAATAGTCATTGAACTGGGTTGGTTGAAATAATAAATTAAAGCCCTTACAGTCGTGATTTGATTGTCTTCTAGAAATTTTTTTAACAGCTTACCCAATTTTGTGAGAAACTAGTTTGTAATTTTTGACTATTTCTTTAATTTCGAGCAAATAAAGCAAGCGAGCTGCCTTAGGATAGATTTTGATGACCTAAAAACATAATTTAACCTAATTATTTTTTGGTGTTACATAGTATTACTTAACCAACTTTTAATATTTTCTAAAGAAGCCTTTGTTGCCTAAATCTGCTAATTTTGAAGGGGATTTTAAAGCGTTTTTTTTAGCCAAAACTTTATAAAAAAAAGTGCTCAAAAACAGCTTTTTGACCAGTTATTTCAAAAAAGTGACTGCGGCGCAAAAATGCCAACAAAGCAAGGTATTCATAATGTTCTGGGAGCGCTAAGAAAATATTTTTTTTTCCACCTGAAAAAAAAAATTGACAAAATGATTGAAATTTTTTTGAAAGACGTCCCCTTGATAAAAACCTAAATCTGCACGTGGTTACCTGGTTTAAGTTTCCAATATGTAATTCGTCTCTCAAAACAGCTTTAATGAGTGTCTTCTCGAAAAATAATTGCATCAAAAAGATTGATAACACCAAGGCTAATCAATATCCGTAGCACATAAATATCGAATTAAAATCAAGGTTCGCAAATATGTATGAAAACAAGTATTGCAGTTTCTCCAAGATTTGTTGTCACAGTTAATTTTTGTTTGGGTCAATTATTTCTCAGTTGATGTCTCAAATGTCACCCCTAATAAAACAATATAATATGACCACAGAAATACTTTTTACTGCTTACATATTTATATTTGCCTTCTACGATTATTTGCCGTTTTACTTTTCAACTTAGCCAATTTTTGGATGGCAATTTTTGTAAGAATCCGGGATAATTTATTGTTTTTTTTCTGCTTTTTTTACTCCAAAAAAATATCACAAAAAAGACTCACATGGGTCGACTGTTATACCAGACTAAAATATATCAATCGTGATACGCGTCACAACTGCAATAAAAAAATCTCAACTTTTTAAGCTTTAAAACTGATGTCTTTGAAAGTCAGTTTAAGCAAGTAGAGAGTGACAACTGTTAGTTTTGAACGTGAACTACGCTACCAGTAACTAGTTGTGGCAGCTCAATTTTAGCTTCTCCATTCTCATAAATTTTCGGTCCAGAAAACACAAAAATTGTAAAGAAAACTGGAGCGAAAATTTTGAAAAAGACTTAATTTTTGCAATAACTAACATTGGTCTGAACGCTTTGTTAGACAAGAACCAGTTTTTTTTTTGTTATAGTTACCTCAAGGGTCTTATTTAGTAGAGGATGTGGTGGGGGGAGCGGGTGCTCTTTCTCTTTGGGGTTCGACCCCCTCGCCAACCAAAGGGTCCCCCCATTTTATGACATATATTTTCGGCCAACCAACCCTTATAATTAAAAGCGTCTGCGTCGCCTAAATGTACTAATTTTGATGGGGAGAGCGCGTCGGAAAAAAAACAGCTATTTTGACTAGTTTTTCTAAAATGTACCTGCGGCTCAAAACATTTAAAAGTTTCGTCAAAATAGGATATATACAGTGTTCTCGGAGAGCTCAGAAAACCAATTTGGTCTACTTAATGAAAGTTGACAACATTTTCGAATTTTTTTTGAAAACCCTCCCACCTCGAGATATCCTAGATCCGCCCCTGGTTACCTCAATTGAATTTCCACTATGTAATTCGTCTCAAACAAGACTTGAAGAGTTTCTTCTCAAAAAAGAATTGTATCGAAAAGTTTGATAACACCAAGGTTAATCATTATCCGTAGCATATAAATAAATATTAAATTAAAACCATGAATCGGAATTATGTATAAAATCAAGCATTGCAGTTTTTCCAAGGTTTCTTGTCACTGTTCATTTGGGTTTGTGTCAGTGTCTTCCCAATTGATGTCTCAAATTTTACCCTGAAAAAATATAACTAATATGAATTGATCGCAGAAGTACTATTTACCCTTTAGACTTGCCGATCAAATGAAAAAAGTCCAGGCGAAATTTTTTAAACGTCTTTTTAATATTTATTGACAAGCTGCAATAAGGTAAACTATAGCCTCAAGATATTTAAGTGCCTCAAGATATTTATATAGCCTCAAGATCAATGAATATCAAAGTGGACGTGCTTCAGACCCAAACTCAGGAAAAGCTTCAGACTCACCAAAAATTAAACTAGTTCACCAACAAAAAAAATCAGCGGGCAATGTATTTTGTTTCACCTAGTTCTAAGATTTGTCTTTAACTGCAAAATTATTTTTTCCAATTACCTTTGACGCGAACAGCAAATTAGTGGACTGTGGACTCCTCCCATTTGGGGATACATCACTCATACTAAAATTACATAACTATTATTACATAACAGTAATTATTACGTATTTAACTGCAATGATCAACGTGTTAAAAACTTTTATATAGTAAATTTCTTCAACTTAAAAATTCTTCAACTTTTATATAGTAAATAACTTTCGGGAATAACAGCAGTGACCTTATGAAGACTTTTGGGAATGCCCTTGATCATGGCAGTTATCTAGTCCAAACCTCTTTTTATCTTAAATATGTGTCAAATAAATTTTCTTGAAAAAAAAGTATAAAACTTTACTTCTATATAACAAAATTAGCTATTATAGACCTTCAAATCTAGATCAAATTTTTCGATTGAAAAATGAATGCCAAAAAATTGGACTTTACTATTGCCGCAACCAACACGCACCTACACTTACTGTAGAAGAGATATAGGCGGCATTGAAGGTATTCTGCTCAGGGAATTGCCGCCGTAGTTGTTCACGTTGTTGTTGTTTATTATGTTCATACTACTGTTCATGCGTTGCTGATTTGATGAATCTAGATACACATTTGGCATCGTCCCCCCGTGTTGACTAATGTTCCCCTGGTAATTCTCGTAAGCTCCTGAGGGGATCCCGCGAGGTAAGCTCCCAGCCCCACCCCCGTGATTCTTCAGAACCCCGCCCCCGTAACTGCCCAGGGGTCTGCCTAGGGGGTCGTTGTGGGTAGTATGGGTGTGAGTGTGACTGTGGTGGCTGTGCGCGTTGGAGTGATTGTGATGATGGTGGGAGTGTGAGTGACCTTTGGGATTGTAGACTCGCTCAGCTCCAAAAATGAGTCCGAAAATGAGTCCTATTTGGGCTAGAATGACTCCCAGAGGGTAGAAGGCTGAGTATTTGTCTGACAAGAAAAAAAATGCTTTTTTTAGTGTTGTTGGAGTGCTCGGGAAACCAATTTTGTTGACAAAAAAATCCGCCTCCCCCTCAAGAAAATTCTAAATCCCCCTGTGCCATACCATGCCATAAAGTTGCGCGACGTTACTCATTAAGAAAAAAGACCGGTCTATACAAAAAAGGAGTTTTTGAGTTTAAATTCAGAAATTAAAAAGTGAGAAAACATTACGAAAGCAAATCACAAAAATTATTTTCGAACAAAAATTTTTATCGTAAAATTTTTTTCGTACTCTTAATTGTTATTCGTACTATCGTGCTAAAATTGTTTTCGAACTCCCCTTTCTTCCCGTTTCCTCCTCGCTTTCGACTTTCTAACCCCCTCCCCAAAACTTATCAAAGGCTACCTTTGACTTTGAGAAGTGTGGACCAGGAGAGTCGGATGCCGCCTGCAGTGACGTTGCACGTGTACTCATCCCTGTCGTCATACAGCACCCGGTTCAGTCTGAGGATTGTAGGGTTGCGGTACTTGTCCAGTTGGAAGTAGTAGTACCTAGTAATAGACTCAGCATGTATGGCGAGATATTACATAACAAAACCATAAAACAACACGTTTATGTAAAAGATCATAAGCATACATCTAAAGAGATGTACTAATCTAACGGCTCAAATTCTAACTGGTACTAACCAATCCTAATTAAGACTAACGCAACGTACAATTAAAACCGTCTGATGAAGTCAAAAATATTATAGCGGATAGATTTCAGGGCGAGTAGAATTAATTTGTGCAAAGGTTGAGCTACAAAACTTTGATTAACTGCTTGGAAAGTTTTTTTGTAAAGTTTTTCCTCACTGTTTTCTTATCAATTGCGAAAAAAATTCTATCATTACATAATTTTTTCTGTCTCATAGAGACATTTATTTAAACTATAACAAGGGGGTGTGAATAACCTGTCGCTTTTGTGAGGGTGGAGGGGGTATCTTTGCTGGCTGTGCTGGAGTGGGATGTTTCCCTTGCGGTACCATTGCACCACCCCGAATGGGAGGGAGATGATGTTGCAGTAGATGTCCACTGTCTCCCCCAAGAAGGACTTGAGGGTGCGGGTGGTGTTGAAGTGGCGCAGTTTGGCCTCCTGGAACCGAGGTCCGTCTGAAACCGATCAAAAATATCATCAAAACAAGAGAGCAATCTGAATTAAACTTAGAATACAGTTGTTCTCCTTCTGGAAACTAACTCGCATAAACCAGTGTACACTAGATCTATTGAGACTAGGAGATATAAGAGTAAGATTAAGATCGGTATTAGACTAAGAAGTTGCACGAATCTATCCGGCCGAAAATAAGATAGCGTGACGAGCAGACGGTGTACCTTATCTGAAATTACTCTATGAGTATAACCAAATAGGTCATAACTCATGAGTATCTCAAAAATAGGAAAGTAGGCGAAACCAGGAAAACACTCTGCTCGACCGTGCAGTATCAATTTTCTGATTTAAAATTAAAGAAAAAGTTGCTTACGATGGAAGAAAATTGTTCAAATTTTGATAAAACTGATAATTTTTGAGGAAACTGAGCCAGAGCCAATTTTGAAAAATTACAGGACCAGGTTAGTGTCAACTAGTAAAGATATCTGATATAAAATCAAAAGCCAAAACTAGAACGTGCTAAGAACTCACTGCAAATGTTTTGCTTTATCTCAATTACTATTTCGGGCGCGCCAAATACTTTTTTCTACCTTCAATCAAATCTTGAGCCCAATTCATCTATTCCTCTCCCCCATCCGCCCCTAAATTAGCCAATTGAACAATCACCCAACAATCATCCAACAATCATCCAGTTCTATGAAATTCTGATTGACTGAAAAGCAGTGCTTTCAACCAAAAAAAACGGTCTCCTCCCTAAACTAATAAAGGGGAGATTTTTCACTTTGCCTCAAAAAATTACACAGTAAAAGTGATTTAGAAGTGGCAGCTACTTGGTTACATAGCAGTATTTAGACAAAGACTGTTTCAACCAATCAGAATCGAGACAAAGAAGAAATTATTAAATAATTATTATTTATTTTGGATTATTTATGTCTTTTTTCGATTCTGATTGGTTCATATAGTATTTGTCTAAATTCGGACGAGTCTGAATACGCGGTTGTCTAAATACAGACCGCTCTCCCAGCTACTTACACCTGACTATGGATCTCTGCTTGATGTGTCCAGTGAATGACTTGGAGTAGCTCTGGAAAGTGCACCAGTAGTAGCCGGCGTGATCTGTGGTCGCATTGGCCACGTGCAGTGTCTGACCATCGCGCGACACTCTTGGACAAAAACACCAATTTGATGTGAAATTATTGAAAAAATTATCTTTTTATTTCGATGAAACTTAAGCCTTACAAAACCACCTTCATATAGTTCATAGAAACTCTTGGTATGTTCTATATTTAAAAAAAAGTACAGCACTGTCGTAGAAAGACATTTATTGGTAATTAGTTATTGCTCGTTGTTGCGAAGTTAACGTTTGCTCATTGCTGATATTGAGCAAAAATAGATTTAATTTCGGTTTATTTTCAATATAGATTTATTTAATATCATTGATGATTTTGAACCTCAAATAACATGTACTCTCTTTTGGACTTTCTTTATATTAAAATAGAAGTGTTTACATAATGTTGAGGTTGGTGAGTGTCTGCGGGTCTCTGGCATAGTCCTCGTACAGTGCCTGCATTCTGTTCACATCATCCGGATCCACCCCCAATTGGGTCGACACAGTCCACTTCACTACTGGTCTCAGAACATTCTGTCCATTCTGGTTCAGACCCAGACCAGGTGTGTCGTATAGTTGGGCGGGGTTGATTGACAGGTTACACGTGATCGAAAAGGGTTTGTTCAGCTCCATGTTTACCACACTTGGATAGATCATCATGTCCGGGACTAAACAGAAGATTCATAAGCCAACCAAATCAAGTCTCTTAATTTCTAAAATTATTTAAATCAATTTCATTCAAATTGTAACTTCTCGAACTGCAAACAACTTTGATGTACCGAACACCGAAATTGAATTTTCTACGCAAATTCTAGAACCAACTGAAAAAAAAAAACGTCGTAAATGATCGGTTGACAACTTTTGCATCTCATGCAAAAGCATTTTCAGTATCTTATATCTTATATATTAAATGAAAGTTTAGTGCGCTATGGACGCAACGTTTTAACTTTTTTTATCAACCACAGCGTTTAAGAATCATTCAAAGCAACCATCAGATAAAGATGAACTCGATCCAACTTCAAGGCTAGACAGTACTTGCCATTTTTTTGTCCAAAATTTGGCGTTTACAGATTCATTTCAGTCTGAAACGAATAAATTGCAAAAAGGAACCTCCAAGCTGAGAATTTTTTTTCGAAAACCGATTTCGTCCCTGAAATAAATATAACCATTTCAAAGTTTCATAGCTTTATCAATTAAAGTTTTATAGCCATAAAGCTTGCTTAGAAAAACTGAAAATTTTCGCGAACCGATTCGATCCACAAAATAAAGTTTCATAGCTTGAATAGTTTGCTTAGAAAACCTCTAGCTTTTCGCAAACTGATTCGGTTTATAGATAACTTGAATTATTTCAAAAATTCTAGCTGAAAAAGCTTGCTTAGAAGAACTTAATTGTTTCACGAACTGATTCAGTCTATGAACTAAATTGAAATATTTCAAAATTTCTTAGCTTTAAAAGCTTGCTTAGAAAAACTCAAACTTTTGGCGAACCGATTCGGTCTGCACAAAAACTCGAAAAAGTTCAAAGTTTCATAGCTTTAATAGCTTGCTTAGAATTTTTAACTTTTGGCAATAGGATTCGGTCTACGAAGCGCTTGGATTTTTTGGTTCGATTAGCTTGCGCAGAAAAACTCATTTCCGCAAAATGTTTCCTTCTATTAAATAACTTGTAAATATTTCAATTTTTTATAGCTAAATTAGCTTGATTAAGTGAATTTTAAATTTTTAAAACTGATTCGTTCTATTAGCTCGCTCCATTAGCTCGCTTAAAAAAAAATTTTAGCAAAATGTTTTGATCTAAGCAACTCGAAATATTTCAATTGTTTATAGCTTGAATAACTTGCTTCGATAAAACGTGAGTGTTTTTGCCAACCAATTCGCTCCATGAAATTACTTGAAATATTGAAGTTTAATAGCTTGAACAGCTTGCCTAGAAAAATTTTTCGCACTCCGGTTCACTTCCCGAAATTAACTTGAATTATTTAAGGATTCGTAGCTTCAATAGCTTGCTCAGAGTAAGTTTTATTTTTTCGAGAACTGATTCGTTCTATGAAACGTAAAGTTTTGAAACCGATTTACGGTCTGGCTCAGCTTGCGATATCGAAATTTCATAGCTTGATCCGAACAGCAACTGTTTTTTGCGAGCTGATTGATTACTGGAGAAAGGCTTGCAAGTTGATTTGAACTGCTTTCAAAATTCTCCAAAAAGGCTCTGGCGTGAAAAACTATTTTTTTAAACATTCGGTCTTCTGAACTTTCAGCTAGTCTCAATTTTCTGCTTATCGTGTGTCTGTAATTTGAAGCAAAGTGAAAAAATTATAATAGGTTTACATTGTTGAAATAACAACTGCTGGTCTCAAGTAATTACTAAAACTGGTGCTAATGCTCACTTTGTCAAGATGATTTTACAGTTATTTTTATCTTGAAACACTGTTAGTTCGTAACCTTTCTAAAAATTTTCATTTGACTGACTTGCAATATACTTTTAACCTTACTTGTTTCTTCGTGCTGGGTTAGTGTAGGACCCTTAGTTAACTCTTATTCTAAATCTGTAGGACACAAAAAACAATAAATAAATAAAAGGATTTTAAAACAGCCCAGCATAATTTTATAAAAATGAAAAAATGACGTGAGGTTTACTTAGCTAAAAATTGTCAACTAAAAAACAATTGTTCAAATTCATCAAAAAGTGGAAGTTTCCTTTCACGCTTTTCAAAGCCAATTACGTTTGCTTTTAGGCGATAGAATTTAAAGCAAAGCATTTTTAGTTATAAAAGTAAAGATAATGAATAAAACTTCCGGCAAAAAAGAATGAAACGAGGAAAAATACTATTGCAAAAAAAGGAACAGAAAACAAAATTTCTGAGCTCTTTTAATTCCATAACTAATTAGGAAATTGATTTGCTCATGCTCATTGTTCAGAAAATCAGAACAAAAATTTCTGATTTCTTCACGAGTATGCAGACTTGAAACCATTTGCAGCTTAGAAGAGGCTGTGACGTAAAAATTGCTATTACACGTCAAACCAATTCCCTTTTAAAATATTACCAGCGTGACATGATAAAAAATTGTCCGTAACATGTAAAAAACTTAACAAGGCCTTGGGTGCTTTTGAAAGACGAAAAATGGCAAGAGCACTTTCTTGACAGCCTGTTAGCTATTAAGTGGCTGACCTTTACTAAAAGACTGGTGCTTTTTTTCTATTGAGAGGCAAAAAATCAATCATAGTTGTTCTTGTTGGAACCTGATCTAGACTACATTTTATGATTGGATAATTTAGATATTTTACCAATGTAAAGTATTTAATATTAACCAATCATGATCCATCTAACTAACAACCCACTTATTTGTAAGTGCTGAAGTTACTTGTAATTTCAGCACCGGAGAGATTTGAATTTAACTTAGAAATTAGTTGGACTCTCCCGATCACTTCAGCAGCCGCAATAAACCAGTATACCCTAGATCTATTGAGCCTAGCAGAGACTAGTTAAACAACCTGAGACTAGATAGTATAAGAGTAAGATTAGGATCGGTATTAGACTAAGAAGTTGCACGAATCTATCCGGCCGAAAATAAGATAGCGTGACGAGCAGACGGTGTACCCTATCCGAAATTACTCTATGAGTTAACCAACTCGGTCCTAACTCATCTGGTGCGACCATAAGTCTCGAACAAGACCTTAATAGCTTAGAATTAACCAAAATAGATTAGAAATTAGACAAAAACATTTACAAAATGTTATACGACAATAATTTAATCGAAATGTCTCTACGACTCAATAGATCAGAGCCAATATTCCGAACCATAACAGAACTACCCGGAATTGGAAGAAGACCTCGAACCAGAGACGACATACGACAAAGTAGAAACTTGCCATATAGCTATATGATAGTTAGGCAAAAACCAGAACAAACTTTTATATTTAGAATACTACTGGCAATGAATTTAGATTTTCATTTGCAAACATAAAACCTTGAAGTTAATCTTCAAAATCATTTCAGGCGCTAAACAAAATTATTAATATACAATAACGATTGATAAAAAGATCTAAGATCGTTTTCCTAAAACTCTGCAGTAATATACAAAACATGTTTGAAAAATATTTATTGAAAAATAAAAAATAAAAATTAGTAGCATGACAATAAATGGTTAGTAATCATAAATCATCCTGTTGTTCCAGCTCCATCACCTAAAACATAACAGCAATCATAAACCCACTAATATCATCAAAACACTAAAACTTTCCTTTACACACATTTAAAATTTTATTAAAACTTAAATTCACTTAATTTTAAAACCAGATCATCAAGGCTTATCCTTGGATCTTAAATCATTTTCTACTTAATTAAATTTCAAATTTGATCATCAAGGCTTATCCTTGGATCAAACAGAACAACTTTGTTCTCCCCCACCCACTTAATTAGTGTCTAACGACCTCAAACGTCGATTCACTACCCAACCCTTTCTAAAGACCTAAGACTAATAGAAATTTTTAAACAAAACTAATCATTCAAATTAGGATAAACAGTGAAGAACTTCGGTTATTCATCCTTCACTTGACCCCCCCTCTTAACAGACCCAGGATAAATCTTAGACTTAGTAAGTTTAAAATAGTATCTAACGAACTACTCGCGTTCTAATTATACCTGAACCTTGTGGATCGATTTACTATTCTCCAACCCTTGAACACAATCACTACCCCTAAGTAAGATTAAGTAAGTTAACACCTTAACTTATACTAGCCACGAGAAAGTAAAAAATCATTCTTCGGAATCGATATACTTTTCTCTCCAACCCTGAACAAATAGACCCAGGTTAAGCTAACCAAAAAATCGTAAGAACTAACAGTTTAGGAAAATAGAAATCATTTAACAACCTTTTGCATCCGTCATTCTAAACCTTATGTCATTTAAAAACCTAGGAAATAAACAAACAATCGTTTTACACAATTGTGAAATAGATAACAAAAAATACGACCTTGTAATCACGCCTCATACACAAACAGTTGGATACATTCGAACAAAACGACAAACACTAAAAAGAAAAATAATAACGAAACAAAGACAAATAACACGAAAAAGATTTTCAAAAAATCGAAACGCATTTTCAGAATCAGAAACCAACAGTTTAGACGAACTTTACAAACTAAAAGAATCAATAGATAAAAATTACCCACTTCACGATCAATTATATTTTTCTGACTCAGAAACAACTTCAAATTCATCAAAAAGAGGAAAAAGAAGAATAAAAAAGCAGTATAAACACAAACCAGTACATTTATACAATTGGAATCAACCAATTCGACACATTAATAATTACATATTAACAGTCATCGAACGAAAAAATGAGCTCAACGCACACTCCAGGTGAAGAAAGTCCAGATGATGATGAAATCTTTCCTTTTATAGTAGATGCAACCACTGATAGAGGACAGCATATATTTTGCAAAAATTTACTATTAAATTTATTTGAACCCGGAATCAGTCCATGTAAAACAGAGTTCCCAGATGTAAAAATCAAAAGACAAATCATAGACCACTACTTAAAAGATATATGCAACATAACACAACAGTATGGAATCTACTCCATAGAATTCACCTCACCAAACCATAATAATAGAAAATATACAATTCAAACAGACGATCTTGATTTAGAATTTTCAAAAGTTTTT